GTGCTAATTGGCACTAATAAATGATGGTATTCCACCAACAAAACAATGTCCTTCATCCTATTTACAAATGATGATTATTACGTTTTTTAAAAAAAAACACTTTAGTGCACAAACCTTTATTACACTTTAATTATCTCGTTTTCCTTTCTCTTTATCTTATTATTCATTTTATTTTCCTTTATTTTATTTTTGCCACACTTGGAATTGTAATATATGCAATATGAGCGTGAGACCTGAGACGATAAGTATTATTGTTTAAATTTCAAGGTGGAGAATCTTGTACAAATACCGGTAAGTCGTAAGTATTGCTAATYARATATAGTCCAACCRTCCTTGCATCCATCCATCAATTGACAGAGCAGTTCAACTAGATCAATGTCTTYCAATTTTTCTCAATATACAGTAGAAAACCRCATATAAGAGCCTAAAAATTAAGAACCTGTTAGGCTAAGATTTGGATCTTATAGCCCACGTTCTTAATTTTTAAATCATTTAAGTCGCAATACAGCTTCAGAGCAAGATTCCTATTTGAAGAAAAACAAGATGAAGATGAATGTAAAAAGAGTTATATCTTGTTTTAAAGCTAAGTTTTATTTGTTTTACTCTAGAATTAAGAATCTATTTTAAGAACCTGAGTAGTTTAAAATTGTGTTAACTACCATTTATACAAGAACCTGTTATGGCGATGAGAATTGAAAAATTTAGATCAAGGATCTATCGTCCTTCTTCCATATATGAGATTTAAGCCCCGATACGAGATTTAAGTCCCGTTCTGGTTGGCTATATAGGGTAAATTTTAATTGTTCCAAATAAGGAAATGAGATGCAAATTAGATTTGAATATTTCAAAGGTTGGCACGGCGTTACACGTTTCAAGTCCCTTATAGGTTTCTGATGCAAGAAAGTAGAATATGATAATCTCACATTTGACAATTACAGTGAGCAAATATTTCTTTAGACGTATACGTATTTCTATGACGTCACGTTGATGTTATGACGTCATATTGAGCATTTTGTATGTAAGAAACTCCCTCCTCCTCACGCATTGCTAATGCTGTAAGACCAGTTAAAATATTGTTTTGTTTGTTTCATATTGTGATTGGATTTCGTTGATGTTTTTAGGCAGTCGAGAGGTATCTTCCAATGGTGAGCTTAAGACAATATCATTGTGACTAGTTTTATATGATTATTATTTTATTCATGTTATTGCATTTCATTTGAAATATCATGAACAGGATATTCTAGAATGTGACTTACTGTCACAAACTGATATCGGTTGTTTTCGCGTCATGAGATGCAGAAGGCTACTGCACAACTTCTTCATAGAGCGGTTTTCATATGACCGTGCGTCCAGAACATAAATATATAGCGGGTATTTCAGTTTCATTTCATTTTATTAATTTACAGTCTTATACCTATATTGATGGTTTTCAACCATTCCCAGGAGAGAAAGTTGAACAAAAGATGTCCGCCATTGCTGGTGGACCTGACAAAAGAAAACCACCACCGTGACTGGTGGACCTTTTTGTTTTGCTCACTCTCATGGGAATGGTTGAAAACCATGCATCAATATGTACTATATTTTTGAATCGCTTGGGTAAGGGTTGTGTTAGGGTCGGATTAGGGTTCGATTAGGGCCATATACCAATTTGAGAAAGCTAACATACATCCTTAGTTTTTTATAACATACACTTTAATTGTGTCGTGTCATCCTTTATCTTTATTTATATTATTAAGCCATAATTGTATAGTTAGTTAAAAGTTGGCTGTTAACGAAGTAATGTTGTTTAAATTTCAAAGGAACCCGAACCTGAAAAATGTCCTGTAAGTTGTAACTATTGCTTTTAAAACAACATCAAACGCTCGACTTCGTTGTTATTGCGCACGTTAATATTGTTTTTTTGGTGCATCGTGCACTTACTCAATTGTCCTTTGTTTTGCGGGTTTATTAAAACCACTTTAGTTTGCTAAACGTCTTTTTATTAAACCGTGAAATACACCTTAACTCACAACCTTTTATCACACTTTTTAAAATTGCCTCGTTTTCCTTTAAAGGCCCAGTGTGTACCATTATGCTTAGGGGGCCTCGAGGGCCTGGAGGCGGCCATTTTCAGATTACCGAAAGTCTATAAATTGTACTGTGTGTTTCGAATATTTGAACATCTCACTTTTCTAAGCACTTTAAACGCTATTATTAGAGTTTTGAACCATCTGACATTCGTTTTATGGTAATATTTGGGTACAAGGAGTATTTTGATGTAAAGCATACACCTTAATCCAAAATGGATTAAAGATTCAAGAGAGATTTAAAGATTCAAATCAGTGCTCTAGGCGTTGCACAACCCTATATTTCCCTAAAACTGATCGACCATTAAGTCATGAGATCGCATGAATGAGGCTGGTATTTATATGTAACGGCATTCACGAATAGTCAGGTGTATGCACATAACATTACATACATAACTAATGAAGCATCAATGTGTACACTGGATGATAGAACTTCTGTAAGTACATCAGAGAACACTTTTACACCTAATTGAAAAAACGTAGCCGTGTTCGAAAAGGTCACATCATAGAAGCTAAAGCCGAAAGAGATTTTGAGTACCACTAAATTGGGATCACATTTGCATATCGGTGTATAAGTGTATAATCAAGTAGCTAGAACTAGTAAGATTGACAGCATGATAGTCTTTTATGCTGGAGAGCTGTTTGTATGATATATTAGCAAAATTGTTTGTCTTCCCAAGTACCCTTTCGGTCTTAGCTTTTATGATTTGAACTTTTTGGACCCGACAAAGTTTCTTCAATTAGGTGTATATGTGCATATTTATATATACAACGGTACTCGAAAAATGGAGTGCAATCAACATGTCCATCATGAATATACCACAGTGAATTCTATATTTTAATAATTGCGCAAATTCCTCTTTTATGCAGGAGCGCTTGTGTGTTACGCAAATGCCGGTGAGTGAAATGAAGACTAACTAGCCTGAGTGTCAGTGTCGACTTTCTAAGAGGACGGGGCGGAACCAAAATTCCATTCGAGAGAGCCTGATTCTCAGATACTAATATTTGAATTGACGTCGAAAATTATCAAAATGAGATATCATTGTGAAAATTTGTTGGAGATCACTTTTTCATTCTTCCATTTTATACCGTGGACATCAAAGGGACATGGTTCACCAGCATTCAATGCGGTCGTGTGTACTTTTTTCTCATATATGGAAAATGACTTCGAATATCCATTCCCAATCCGTTTCTATCCAACGGTTAAAAAGTCGATTCTTACAGTATCTCCATTCATATAGTATAAAGGGATAATAAAGAGTAAGTCTTCCAGGAGGAGCCGACGGGTTCCTTGGAGAACATATCTATGTTCTTATGTCCCAGCCAGCTGTAAGACAAAAGTTGGTTGCCAGCGAGAAATTCTGGAAAAAAGATTCTCAAAGCAGGGAATACTTTCTAAAAATTTTTGCCAGGAAAATAAAAATTCTCTATAACTAAAAAAATATGAGTCTAAAAACGTTTTTGATAAGCATTTTTGCGACGGCCTACAAGACGTTTGGCAGGGACAATTATTTAAAAGAAGGAAGGGCGCCACATTGCTCTGAGATTATCAACAATAGCTCAAAATCCCTTTCCCAGGAAAAGAATTCTTACAAGAACAGTTATTTAGAAGAACAGAAACCGTCGGATCCTCCTGGTCTTTGCTTATATTGCGATGTATTTTTTTCCATGAGCAAAAGTTCGAAAGGGATGCTGGTGGCCCATGAAAATCGAGAAGGGTTTGTGGTACGACTTCCATATATGGTTGTGCATGTACAGCGCTGATGTGCACGTAGAAGTCTCTGATGTCCCAATTATGTGGAGAAGAACTTAGAAAACTTCAAACAAACACTTTTAAGTGTTTAAAAACATAAACCGAAAAGAAATTTTTGAAGGACGAATACTAAGATTCAAACCAGCGCTATGCACTGCCTAACCCGATATATTCCCTAAACCTAACCAATAAGCCACGAGACCATTTCGCTTGAGTGAACCTGAATTTTTGTGATATTTATGCAACGGCATGCATGAATAACCACGCATATGTACATAAGAATGAATATATAATTAATGAAACGTCTATAGGGACACGGGAGCCTTCTATAGGTACATTAGAACCATCCATATGGACATCCATATATGGAAGTCGTACGACAACCTCTACTTTGAAAATCAAACTCACTATAGATTTTTTAGAATTTCTTTGTACGCAGGCATAATTTCTAAAAATGAATGAGTCCTCTGCGTTTACTAGTGATATTTTTAATACCGAGCTTTCGGCCTAAGCGGCCATTATCAAGGTAGAGTACACATAAGATTTTAAACAACGCAAAAAACGGAAAGCGCGCGTGGAAACATAGCAATACAGCGCGAGCTAATTACAATAGATAAAATGTAAAATGAAATGGAATGAAATGAAATGGAGTGAAAAGAAAATAAATGCCAGACTATGACAGTGAAGCAATTAGATATATATATGTAACAAAAAACTTAAATGAACTTAAATAATGGTTTGTATGTTTCTGGTATTGTTCTGCAGTGTCTCTGTTTGACAGGACTGAGTTGGTATTGGCTATCAGTAGGGCTTCCAGCCACCTCCTTTGATGCCATCTAGGTTCTGTTCTTAGTACTTCAGTCCCATCCCAGTCAATATCATGATGTAGGGTGTTGGCATGCTCGGATAAGGCAGACTTATCGGTGTAAGCCAGTCTCACGCTTCTCTGGTGTTCTGTTCGTCGTGTTTGTAGCGACCTCCCTGTTTCACCAATATAAACTGTAGGACAGTCAGCACAAGGGATTTTATAAACGACTCCGGTTTTCTTTGAGTCTTCAAGCTTATCTTTTGGTCTTGATATCATGCGTCTGATGGTATTAACTGGTTTACTCGCTACTCTGATGTTATGTTGTGATAGGACTCTGCTGATTCTCTCTGTTACATTTTGGACATATGGTAATACTGCAAATCCTTTCACCTCTGGTAGAGTGCCTTGGTCTCTCGTTTCATGATCACCTCCAACATGCTTGTATTTATTTATAAATTGCTTCGGGTAGTTGTTCATACGTAAGGCTTTAAATACCTTGTCTTTTTCTTGGTCTTTCCCTTGGTCACTACTTGGATGACTTCTAGCTCTTTTATATAGGGTACGAACAACTGAAGCCTTATGCTGAGGTGCATGGTGACTTTTAAAACTCAAATACCTGTCAGTATGAGTCTTTTTCCGATAAACTGTGATTTCGATAGTACCATCATCTCTGATCTTGTTGAGACTATCAAGGAAAGGTATTCCTTCAGGAGAGTATTCCTCAACTGTGAATTTGATCTTTTTATGCTGTTTCTGAAGGTGGTCGTGGAAAGCCTTTACTTGATCTTTTTCAATTACGCAAATAGTATCGTCAACATACCTCTTGAAAATCCTAGGCGGAGTAGAAAAAGTTGA